TTTTGACAAAGGGCGGGGGAAGACTCAAAACAGGCAACCTGAGGGACATTCAGAACTGAGTCAATAACTTTAAACAACACATGAGGCTTATGACAGTTTGACTGAATGATATTAGAGAAATAATTTCTCTTAAGATTTTTCACAGTTTTTTGATAATCATGCCAAGAGTCTTTAAGTATCTGAAGTGACACTTGTAGTTTGGGCTATGGGGGTGTTTTTCAGCTGCAGGGACCGGACGACTGGTTGCAATCGAGGGAAGGGTGAATGCGGCCAAGTACAGGGATATCCTGGACGAAAACCTTCTCCAGAGTGCTCAGGACCTCAGACTGGGCCGAAGGTTCACCTTCCAACAAGACAATGACCCTAAGCACACAGCTAAAATAACGGAGTGGCTTCACAACAACTCCGTGACTGTTCTTGAATGGCCCAGCCAGAGCCCTGACTTAAACCCAATTGAGCATCTCTGGAGAGACCTGAAAATGGCTGTCCACCAACGTTTACCATCCAACCTGACAGAACTGGAGAGGATCTGCAAGGAGGAATGGCAGAGGATCCCCAAATGCAGGTGTGAAAAACTTGTTGCATCATTCCCCAAAAGACTCATGGCTGGATTAGCTCAAAAGGGGGCTTCTACTAAATACTGAGCAAAGGGTCTGAATACTTATGACCATGTGATATTTCAGTTTTTCTTTTTTAATAAATCTGCAAAAATGTCAAAAATTCTGTGTTTTTCTGTCAATATGGGGTGCTGTGTGTACATTAATGAGGAAAAAAATGAACTTAAATGATTTTAGCATATGGCTGCAATATAACAAAGAGTGAAAAATTTAAGGGGGTCTGAATACTTTCCGTACCCACTGTATGTTCTAACCACAAACTGGGATCTAGTCAACTGGTGTATGCATTTATGTAATGTGAGAATTGGCATAGAGTAGACAATCTTTGTGCAAGTGAGCCATGAGCAAGTGAAGACAATTAGCGTGCTTGTGGCCCTTGGCTTTAATAATGTTTTTTTGGACATGGTTATGTAATTAGGTTTAGACTGCTTCTGGCACTTTTCGTGATATCTGATGATATATACAGTGCCTTGCGAAAGTATTCGGCCCCCTTGAACTTTGCGACCTTTTGCCACATTTCAGGCTTCAAACATAAAGATATAAAACTGTAATTTTTTGTGAAGAATCAACAACAAGTGGGACACAATCATGAAGTGGAATGAAATTTATTGGATATTTCAAACTTTTTTAACAAATAAAAAACTGAATAATTGGGCGTGCAAAATTATTCAGCCCCTTTACTTTCAGTGCAGCAAACTCTCTCCAGAAGTTCAGTGAGGATCTCTGAATGATCCAATGTTGACCTAAATGACTAATGATGATAAATAGAATCCACCTGTGTGTAATCAAGTCTCCGTATAAATGCACCTGCACTGTGATAGTCTCAGAGGTCTGTTTAAAGCGCAGAGAGCATCATGAAGAACAAGGAACACACCAGGCAGGTCCGAGATACTGTTGTGGAGAAGTTTAAAGCCGGATTTGGATACAAAAAGATTTCCCAAGCTTTAAACATCCCAAGGAGCACTGTGCAAGCGATAATATTGAAATGGAAGGAGTATCAGACCACTGCAAATCTACCAAGACCTGGCCGTCCCTCTAAACTTTCAGCTCATACAAGGAGAAGACTGATCAGAGATGCAGCCAAGAGGCCCATGATCACTCTGGATGAACTGCAGAGATCTACAGCTGAGGTGGGAGACTCTGTCCATAGGACAACAATCAGTCGTATACTGCACAAATCTGGCCTTTATGGAAGAGTGGCAAGAAGAAAGCCATTTCTTAAAGATATCCATAAAAAGTGTCGTTTAAAGTTTGCCACAAGCCACCTGGGAGACGCACCAAACATGTGGAAGAAGGTGCTCTGGTCAGATGAAACCAAAATCGAACTTTTTGGCAACAATGCAAAACGTTATGTTTGGCGTAAAAGCAACACAGCTCATCACCCTGAACACACCATCCCCACTGTCAAACATGGTGGTGGCAGCATCGTGGTTTGGGCCTGCTTTTCTTCAGCAGGGGCAGGGAAGATGGTTAAAATTGATGGGAAGATGGATGGAGCCAAATACAGGACCATTCTGGAAGGAAACCTGATGGAGTCTGCAAAAGACCTGAGACTGGGACGGAGATTTGTCTTCCAACAAGACAATGATCCAAAACATAAAGCAAAATCTACAATGGAATGGTTCACAAATAAACATATCCAGGTGTTAGAATGGCCAAGTCAAAGTCCAGACCTGAATCCAATTGAGAATCTGTGGAAAGAACTGAAAACTGCTGTTCACAAATGCTCTCCATCCAACCTCACTGAGCTTGAGCTGTTTTGCAAGGAGGAATGGGCAAAAATTTCCGTCTCTCGATGTGCAAAACTGATAGAGACATACCCCAAGCGACTTACAGCTGTAATCGGAGCAAAAGGTGGCGCTACAAAGTATTAACTTAAGGGGGCTGAATAATTTTGCACGGCCAATTTTTCAGTTTTTTATTTGTTAAAAAAGTTTGACATATCCAATAAATTTCGTTCCACTTCATGATTGTGTCCCACTTGTTGTTGATTCTTCACAAAAAATTACAGTTTTATATCTTTATGTTTGAAGCCTGAAATGTGGCAAAAGGTCGCAAAGTTCAAGGGGGCCGAATACTTTCGCAAGGCACTGTAGAGGTGTATTTTAGCGTTTGGTGAGCTATAATCTGTATATCAGCCTCATGTCCTGCAGGTGAGCTGGTGTCGGTGTCTCTGAATGAAGTGGTGCGGCTACAGTGCCCCGCAGTATCGCGGCTGTCGCAGCAGCAGTGGGAGCGTCCTAACAGCCGGCTGTCCTCAGACCTGTACCTGCAGCTAGGGGATGGGAGTCTGACCTTTGTGGCCACCCCTGCCACACTGGGTCACTACCTCTGTCTGTCGACCGAGAATGACTACCAACAGACTATGGCCATATATCACGTCAAACAGAGGAGCAGCACCATGGCTCAAAATCCAACCAGCCACATTCAGCCTCAGACACACCCTGTTCCAACCACACGAGCTGTAGCCAGGCCTGGACCTGTACTGCACACCTCTGTGAGGGGCTGGCCTAAAAGAAAAGGAGCAAGACAAGGAGAGACTGAGCCAACGCTGTCCAGCAGGGACACTCAGACCACCACCAGACAGCTGGGTGGAAACTTGACCCTGTGGACACACGTATCTGGGCAGGATGAGGCAGAGTTTTGGGACGGGGAACCCCTACTGTCAGCTCAAGGCCCCTGTTGCCTAAAAGAGCTGGTAGTTGTGTCACTAATGCTGGTGCTCTGCCTCAGTCTCTTAATAACCATGTTTCTGTTCATCATCAGACAGCGCTGCCACAGCCGAACGGCCCCACAGGCAGAGACTCCAAGCGGACTCTCTGAAAGAAGGACCCCTGTGGAGCAGGAGGCCCTCAGGGGAACCCAGTTTCTGAGCAAACGAAATGGACAAGTCTTAAACAGTGGGCAGGCTAGTGGTCTGGTTTGCAACAGGACACTCATGGGCTCTAATGGACATTTGCCCAACACCCCCATCTGAATAGCCCGGACATTTAAAGTGTTGCATATAAGACCAGTGTATCAGTCAGTCAGGTATCAGTCACTATGCTGACTGCCCCACAGCCAGAGGCAAGATACAAACACTGTGGACTTATGTGATTCTGATTGGTAAGATGTGGATGAAAGACAGTCTTCCTGTGGTTCTTAAATGAAGACACATCGCTGTTGAGATGGTACTTGTTTATTATTCCTAGAGGTCGAAACACACTGGCTGTGATGCTGTAACAAGACGGTTGAGATAGAAAAGTACAGGCTGCTCCAGTGTAGCTTGTTCTTTAATTGTTTTTATAACATAGTCAGTGTTTGATGCAGAGCCAGTGACTGCCATAGTAATGCATCTCTTTATGGGATAGTTATATTTTTCAGGGTAAGGGTTAAGACATCTAAAGTACACTAGAAACACAACTGTTAGATTTGGACATTTCTGGGCATGATCAAACTTCACAGAGACAGAAATTGTACATCCAAGCAGACCAGACTTGTCTGTGTCTAAATCTCCTATGAAATATGTTTGGAGGAAACATACTGTAATTGATGGCCAGTTTATGTTCAGTGTCAAGGTTTTCCCCAGTTCAATAGGTGTGGTGTCCTGCATATCCTATGTTTCTATAACATAGAGAAGTCATTAGCAGCTGCTTTGGCTGGATGAGCCTTGACAAATTCATCTGTACTTGGAAAAGACCACAGAGATCAGGCCAGTAGCCTTCTTTATTATTTGTTTGTAAGATGGTGTTACACACCAGTGTGAATGTGCCTTAGCTACAGTTTACTGTAGATGACGTTTGGTGGATCTGTTGATTCACACTCGCTGATTTCCTGTGCATTATATACACTGGGCCATGTGGACACAACTTCAGTAAACATGCATCCATAACCTCTTCCATCATGCACAGTGCTGTCTTGTCATTTAAGAGAAGCCTGGAAGCTTCACATTATTTCTCATTTGCTCTTTGAGTGACCTAGAAATTGATCTGGTTTGCAATCATGGAGGATGTCTCAGATACCTCATTTCTGTTAGTAGTAGCATTTCTATAAATTACAAGACATTCTGATCATAACCTGAACTATTGCATAAGGATTATACAAAAAGAATATAAATAAATGCAGGTGCAAATAATTTTAGCAAAAAGAATGTTGGTTTGTGCTTTTCATTGTCTAAACAGTAATTTCACAAATTGTGCTTTGATGGATCTATGCACAATATCAATACAAAACACAGGTTAAATGAATGTGCACATGCTGTCAATTTAAGGATATCACTACACTGCTCAGCTGGCAGAAGTTCTCACTTTGTTGGCCATATTCAGTGATTTGGATTTGGACACTGGTTGTAACATAACCCTGATATCTAGTATCAGGGCTCCAGACTAACATTTCACACTGGTGCCACCAACCCTTACAGATGGTGGCACCACCTGTATTTTATAATGTAATACAAAATCATCTGTATTTTTCAGATTATTTTAAATGACCTTCCCTTCCAATATATTTAGAATAAAATTCAGAGAGAGGGAGACCTATGGAACACAGTAAATGTGAAAACCACTTCTGGAACAAGTTTCCTGCTCTTCTTCTGTACAGTCACTTCAGCGCTGTGTAGCCTAGCAGTCAGTGTGATGATAATGATGACGATGATGATGGTTAGGTTATTATATTTCAACTGAACTATGAATTGAGCGTTGCACGCCTGCTTTGCTGTTTGTGTGCATAATTTATTTATATGCTGTTTTTCTTCTGAAGAAGGATTTCTGCTCTTTGGTGGTGTCTGTGTTGGACCTCATGCACAGTTCAGCTCTCACTCACATGGCTAGTGCCAGCTCATTTTTGGGCTAAAGTTATTATTCATTTCAGTTTTATTAGTATAGTATTAGTCAGAACAGCTGTCTGTCAGCAGGAGGACAGCACAGTCTTCACCGGGCTGACCAACAGCAGAAATGTACTGGACAAAAATAGTCTTCATGTAGGCTACTCAGTGGGAAATCAGCAGTGTTATGGATTTATTCATTTTATTAATTTCCTCATCTTACTACAAAGGACGGGGGAAAGTAAAACCAGAAGGCTCACAGTGACATCATGAGCCAGATCCACCACAAGAGATTCGTGTAAAAAGAAGTTTCCAACACATTAACAGGTGATCTACCTGATTTAAGCAGCTGTCTGTGGTGATTACACTTCAAATGCACCAAAGAGAAGGGGTGACGTGTGTGTCTGAGTAAGTGTGGTTTGACACATTTGATAGATTGGGAATCTCTGCCTTGTGAGACAGGCGAGTGACAATGACAGTGTCCTGGAGATTGTTACATCTGTCCACCATTTCTACAGTGACAGCAGTCGCTCATGCACTAATCACTATGTTTTGCAGTTGCACTCAATGCGACCTTTGAAAAGAGTCCATCGTACCATAAATAAATTTGGTCGTTGCAGTCTGGAGCCCTGGGTATGTTCCTGACTGTCATAACCTATTCACTGGAAAAGAAAATGGGAACAGAGGGGACCACATAAACAATCATTTGTCATGTGCCAATCATTTTATTTATTAAATAGGGGAAGGCCAGTGTCCATGTAAAAGTTCCCATGTCACCCTGACAGAGCTGTCCCCTCAGAGAAAAATGGATGCAGTACAGTTCCTCATGGGGTACAAGAATATGAGGTAACAACAGGATGAGCTCTTGATATCCCAAAAAATTGCTTTAAGGTTGGTTGAACAATGTCACGTAGCGCTGACCCTTATAAAAATCCGTCTCTCGAATGTGACATGTTTTGAAGTGTAGTGTTATTAAATATGGACAGACTCCCAGCAGCTGCAGGCTCCTTAAAGTTGTGATCAAAGAGAAAAGGAAAAAATACATAGTTCCGCAGTATGACACTGAACACAGCTGTCGTAACAAGACAAGAGGACTGCTGGGACAACAGAGTTCCCTGCGATGGTTTTAACTGAAAAGACAAACCTGTTGTGAATATGAAATTAACAGCCACCTTTTTATGCACCTCAACACATGCATGTAAGAATGCAAGAACAGCCCCACCATTTACTCTGACCAAAGCACCGTGGCTGCCCTCTGCTGCTACATACTGTAGTTGGATGGCTCACATTTAGGAAACACACTTTCCTACAGCTCCTAATGAAATGCAAGCACCAAAGTGTTGACATTTTACCAATAAGGTCACCAAACCTCAAGGACTGGCCGGGAGACTCCCAGAACTGATTTAGGCCTCTAGAAAAAGTCAAAATTTAACCTGGGAGATTTTTTGGTGTTTTTAAAATACCAGCTGAACACATGGAAGTAAAATGCCAGGAAAAACTAATTGAAACAGAAGGTAACTCTGGGGCACCAATAGATAAGCTGAAATTGCACAATCTAATTTTAATTAAATTAATTCAGGCTACTTATTCTGAAAAAATAACTTATTGTAGGTATTTTTAATTACCAGTATTCTGCCTCGTCTTGTGGTTTTGTGGCATTGAGGTGCTGAAGGGACAACTCCTATACAGTGTACTATGAATGCTAAGATGGTTTTATTTTCATTTTCTGTTGATATTTGTTGCTTGATCACGCTCTGAGTACCACCCCCCAAAAACAACTCCCAGATTACTGTCATTTGGCACTACTTACCATTGTTCTGTTAAAAGGTGGGCAATGAGGTAGACAGTGCACTGATCTGTGTTTAATTCTTCTTACACTTTATGTCCATAAGATTAAAAATGAAGGCCCATTGGAGGACTTAGGCTGAACAAGTTGCACATGATCACAATGTAGCTCTGTTTACAGCATGTGCCCTGTGTTCAATACCTCCACAGGCCTAAAATATTATAGAGCAGTTCACGGTTCCATTGAATATCTGAGATGCTAGTGAACTTAATACTGCTACAGGAAGCAGCATTGACCAGCTGTGGCTTCACAATACAATAACTACATAAAACCTGACAGTCTTTGGCACCATCATGTGACCAAATTCAATGTGGCGTCTGATTTCAAATCTGAAGATTGAGGGTTCAAGTCCATTTCTGGTTGGACTTTGCAACTTCTGTGGCAATGGAACAAAAGTGTGCCTGGTTCTTGGCAACAGGCCGGATAGCTGAGCTGGTTAGAGCATGGTGCTAATAATGCCAAGGTTATGGGTTCGGGCCCCATAATGGCCATTAAAGTTGGAATGGGTTTTTTGCACATTTCCCCTCAAGCACTTTGTCTATCCCTTGCTAATTTAGTTTAAAAAAAAAAAACAGAGTTGTCAACAGGCTAGTTAGCTCAGCTGTTTAGAGCATGGTGCTAATAAGGTCATGGGTTCAATACCCCATACTGGCCAGTAAAATGTTGTTACAAGTTGAGATGGGTTTCTTGCACATTTGCCCTCAATCACTTTGACAAATTTTGTAAAAAAAAAAAACAAAAAAAAAAAAACAACAACAAACAAACAGGGAAGTAACAGATTTCAGTGGACAGTCAGGAATATAGAAAGACTCATCGATGCCAGGCTGCCCTCCATGGAGGACCTGTACACCTCACGGATTAAAAGGAGGGCAGAGAGGATTTCTGCAGACCCCTCACACCCTGGACACAAACTGTTTGAACTCCTCCCCTCTGGACAGTGCTACAGGTCAGTGTACACCAAGACAACCAGACACAAGGACAGTTTCTTACCCTGTGCCATCACTCTGATGAACTCTTAACCCAAGTTGCATGTCTTTGGACTGTGGGAGGAAGCCATAGCACCTGGAGAAAATCCACACAGGCACAGGGGAGAACATAAGAAAGGTCCCAAGTTGGCTGGTATGTAGTTTCTAAGAGCAAGGCCACATGGGATTTGTAGGCAGTTTGCCCTACAGGTGTAATGCCTCCCCCTTTCTGATACAGGGAGCCTGTAGGTGGTGGTCCAGCAACTGCTCCTCTGCCAACCCCAAGGACACCAGCAGGATCAGCTGCAGGGGGTGTAGCAGCTTCAGGCTCTTCAGGGACTGACAGTCTAATTTCTTGGTCCTCATTCTTCTGTCTATAGTTTCATCAGGTGTTATCCCATTCTGATTCAATATACACCTCATTTCAGTGCCCAGCCCATCTTCAGCATTTTCAAGTACAGTATTCTTATTATACTCATTGACATGATCCACTGAAACCTGATACATCCATGGTGACGTCATCTTAAGGTCATGACGAGGCAGACAGCTAGCATCAGGGGTTCACATTAATGTCCTAATTAATCATTTTCAGCTGTACCCTATCCATGCTAGCTTGTGAATTTTCCACTGGACATCGGTTAATTTTTATGATTGTGTGTTTTTTGTCTAATTTTGAAGAACGTAACTAGTAACTGAAGCTATAAAAGTAGTGGAGTAAGACGTATAATATTTGCCTTTAAATGTAGTGAAGTAGAAGTATGAAGTAGCAGAAATTAGAAAAACAAGGTAAAGTAGTACTGATATCTCAAAACTGTACTTAAGTGCAGTACTTGAGTAAATGTACTTAGTTATTTTCCACCACTGGTAATCAAAATAGCACTGGTACTTGGCCAGCCTGTTGTCTAAGTTCACTCTCTAAACTTGTGTAAATAAATCATCATTTATGCATTATACAACGTTATGTGTGTCACGCTTATGCAATGGGAGACTGTAGGCTGCAGTCGTGCACGGGAACTGCATCAGACAGCAAGAGTACAAAAAAGCCTCAGCATCCGAGTGGTGCAGTGAAATCACCTCCTGAACATACCCTGCTGCAGACTGCAGAGCAGCCACACAATACTGGCTCATTCCTTCACACAGCGGATAAGAAAATAGACGGAGAGCTGCTGGAACACAGCTCAGGTAAGATCATTTGTTCACCGCATTTTGTCCCGCAGGAGAAACCGGGACAGGTAACTGGGACAGGACGAAGCCAGGCGACAGCAGCTGAAAAAGGGGCCGAGGAACCGAGGCGTCCGTGTCGATTTGGCATCAGAACTGTAGACATTATAGTGACAGGGAATGTCCGAGAAATTATCAGGAGCCCTGCATGGCACGGCCCCACTTCTCCTGTGTTGTGTCGGCTCCTGGAGCTGTGCCAAACTCCACTGCGGTGCCATCGGCGCGTCGCTGCTGCAGTGTCCTCTAACTCACTCTGTAGGTCGTTTCTC